ATATATATTTTAAATAATTTTATACATAAACTTTTTTATTGTAATATAATTTTCTTTAACTTAATTTATATTTTTTAATATCATATTTGGGCTATAATTTTTATGCCCACTGCATAAATGATTTTTATACTTGTTGAAGTTATTTTTTAGCAAGTATCCTTGGATTTAAGTGTTGAAATTGGTGGCAAGCAGAGACATATCAACTTGATGCCATGGGTTCCTAATGTGCAGCACAACTCTGAATGTTGACCAAGAAATATATAAGTTTTTAGGTACATACTATGGCTTAATAAGAAAAAAACTTACTTCATGCAAAATCTCCAAAAGTAAGACATAATTACAGCACAATAATAAGAACTAAAAAAGTATGGTTATATGGATAAAAAGAAGTACTTGTAGTTTCAAAATAAGGGCAGAAACTTGATCTTTCTCTCATGTAATGTAAATCATGATCTCTAAAGTCTCAACCAACACATATTTCCTTTCAATTAGTTCAATCTCATTAGTTTCCTTTATTTAGACCATAACCACATCTATTGGTCTGATTATTTCAAGTCGTTCAAGGCTTGAAACTAATGTAGCAAGCATTGAAATAAAAAGTGGAAACAAATAGGCTTCAATATAACTTAATAAAATTAAATTCGAACATCATTTTTATTTTGATCATTTCTTAAATTATGCAAAATGTATCATATACATTTTTTATTTACTTTATTAAGTTTAACACATTTGATTCAGTAATACCTGACCGTTATCTAGTGGTTTGAGAAAGCAAATCGAGAAATTCAGAAAAAGAGCTCTCACAGATAAATTTTCCTCTACGGACGGGGTGTGGATCATTGAATTATACTTTATTGTAACATACAAATATGAACATGAACACAACACCAACACTCTCTTCTTTGATAATCTGAAGATAATTTATTCAATACATCATTTTTCATCATCCACTAAGTTATTCCTATGTTCTCAAACTACATTATTTTGCTCCAAATTATCCTCAAACATTGACAGGCTCAACAAACAGCAGGTTAATCTTGTCTTTAAATTCGCCTTGGGCACTTGCAAAATCATTTTCTTCGAAAATATATGCCACGCGTGCTATATTTATAACCAGTTCGAGGACAAACGTTGGTACTTCATCATGAGTAGAACAAAGAAAGTCCTTGTTCATGTCTTCCCATGCATTAGTGATTTTCTTCTGAGCCTCAGCATATGCATCTTGCTTTGAACCTCCAAATTCTTTCATGTAGCATTCTATGAATGAAGCTATATGCTTTCTTTGTCGTTCCAACTGCATTCAATATATTTTAATACTCAATACAAATATTATATGTGAAGGGCGTGTTGAGAATATAACTAAGTAAATCAAAAGTGAACTCACTCTGGCAACTTAAACTTTTCGATGAGATGATTATACAATTTACTTTTTTAGGGAAAAAAGTTGCGAACTGGAAATTAAATATAGTGTAGTACTCACATTATGTCCAATACAATCGCCTTTCAATCTGTTGATTGCTGATGAAGCTTGAAGAATCAAAGGCTCATTTATCATCCATTCAAAAGTCTCTTTCGTTATAGGTTCCTCCATAAGAGCCAAGGAAATTGTTGCACCCATCATACTAGTAGTACTTATATTTGCATTCTTCATATACTCGTCACATTTTGGAATATAGCCAGCATTTAACCATTCTGCTTCCTTGAAATACGCTCTAGCCACTTTTTTCATCTACGAAGGAAAATAAAACAAAAATGTAGAACTATATAATGTTGAATATAATTAAGTGAATAACTAAAAGTATATTCTCTCTAACGTATTAAGCTTTTAGATGAGGCGACAACACAATTCTACATTACAAAGCTCCTATGTCTGTATCAAAAATAAATTTCGCGTGCTTGGCACATGAAAAAAGCATCAGCTCGCATGTAAAAGAGCTTGTTGAAAACATAATTAAGTAAAATATTTGTTTTGTCTAAGTATAGCTTAAGCTTTTAAAGGAGTGGTCGGCTTTATTTAGCGTAAAAATATGGAAAATTATTTTGGCATCCCCTCAAATTTATTTTTAAGAAACCGGCCAACTTTGATTAGTTTTTCATATAAAATAAATTTAATTTAATATTCAAAAAACTTGCCGAAATCGGGCGGTTATTTTAGTCGGTCATTTTAGAAAAAACGGACCGATTTTGGTCCGTAATTTTATATTTTTAATAAAATCGATCCAAATCGATCGGTTATTTTCTCTCGAAAATGCACTTAAAGAGTACAAATAAAATAAAATATAGTCTTAAATCAAAATCTACCAATGCTTTAGTGGTAGAATAGTATCCTGCCACTGTAAAGACCCCGATTCAATTCCTAGACGGTGCATTTTTTAATTGCATAAATAAAATACCGACGGTAGTTTCGGCATATTTTTTCTTTTTTGGTCGCTTGTGAAATTTTACTGACCGATCGAAATCTGTAGGAAATTGCGACCAACTTCGATCACTATTTATTACTGACCAGCCTAATTTCAACAAATTAAAGTCGGTCGGAAGTCAGTCGGTTTTTTCAGTTTTTCGGCGATTTCACTCAGTATTTCTGGACGATTTTAAGCAGTTTTCTAGTAGTGAGTGTATATATCATGTCTTCTTTTAGATTTTGGATGTTTCCTTCCCCACTACTCTTTTCATTTCTTCACTATACCTTAGTTAATTAAACTAATTACTGAAGCTATGGTAAGACTTCACCTGTGAAATTACACTGCTTTTGTTGTTGTTGTTGCAGTTGTAATGAAGCTATGGTAAGTTAACTAATGTTTGATTCAAAAGAAATAAAGCTAGCTAAGGGAACTTACCTCAATTTTTGCATAGTAGAGACGGTCCAATGTACCTTCTCTGCTAAGTTTTTCTTCTATTTGAGTATCAAGGTCTACAAGGGCTTGATAAGTAGGTCTCAGACTGGGCGGTATTGAATCCATGGCACTAATGTCACATCTGCAATAAAGATTTGGACCAAAGTCACAAGCTAATTTCATATTTTTATACAAATCTTCTCGTAAGAAAGTAACATGCACTTAATTGACATATAATTTTTTCTTACTCATTAATGAGAGAATTAAATGATCAATTATGTTTAGGCGGTAAAAATTTACCCGTATGTAGCGATTGCATCGGTAAAAGGTACAAGTTCATCATAAGTTGCAAAAGCATCGTAAGTGTCATCAATAATGGTGTATATGGCGAGTACTTTTGTCATCAATTCTCTTGCACGACTATATTGAGGCTCAAAGTAGATTCCTACGGTATAAAAGTGACATTCCACCAATCTATCTCTTGCATATGAAAATTGCTCTACAAGATCATTCCAACACCTGTAGTATAAAAGTATTGGTTAATTAGTTACATTTCTATAGCATTATTCGTAGTATATAATCACTAGCCCAAAAATGTATATAATATGTATATTTTTTTGTTAATAACACACATATATATATAATTATCAGCCATTATTTTTTAGAGTGACTAAAAAAATATATTTCTTTTACTATTAATTTGACCCATTATGACTAATTCAATCCGTCCATTTGTTACTAGTATATACTATATTCATGTGAATGAAGAGGGTATAATAATAATGTATGTACCTTGTAAGCTCGCCAAGCTCTCTTTGATGCACCTTTTGCACAATGTTAAAATCTAATTTTGCAAATTTCAAAAGCAAATCCAAATTATTATGAGATTCAATGTTCTCATAAATAGATATGTATTTTCTTGCTGTCATCCTTGGTAGATTTGTATGAATGGGCTGACTTAGGGCTGCACTGACTTGGGCCTTAAGTAATGAATTGCTCAATTTAGAGCCCATTGACTCCAAATGAGTGACTGTAAAACTCAGAGCTTGTTCAAGAATTTCTTCCCCATGTACTCTTAAATGTGCTGCTTCATATAAACTTAATAATCCTTGTACATCTTGGGTAAGTGTTTCCTTGAACTTTCCATCTTTGTTAGTGAATTTCTTGAACACATCTGATTTAACATTATGGTAATTAAATATCTGAGAGATATTAAACTAGTTATAACAGGAGCTGAACTAGAAGGTTACGTACCAGAAGACATGTAATGCCTTTGTTGTCTCATTAGTCGAAAACGAAGAGCAACAACACAAAGGTTGTCATCTTTATTTTCACTCTGTTGGGACGCATCAAAGATGTTCTTAATGGATGTTTGAATCTCATTTTTGAAATGATATGCAACTCCCAATCGTTGGATTGTATCAATCAATTCAAGTTTTTGTATACTATTATCAGGTGTTTTAATTAGCATTTGCCTGACTTTTTCTTTCAATTCTTCAAGTTCAACTCTTTCTTGGCTACTAATTTCCTGCACCAAATGTTAAGCATTATTATTTGTTCTCTTGTAAAATACAGTCAGACCTCTCTATAACAGCATCACTATATAATAGTCATTCACTATAAAAGTCAAGTTTTTATGGAACCAATTTTCATGTTATATTATAATATATATTCTCTATAACGTACACTCCAAAAAAATCCGGTTGTTATAGAGTTCGACTGTATTTATTACGTTAAAGGGTTCGTTGGTTGGAAAGATTCAAAAAATTAATAACCTCAACATAAAATATCCCATGAAATAAAAGTTTAAGCACATAATTATGTAGTATCATACTGTGAGTTGAGGAGTGTAGGAGAGGAAATAGTCTCCCCAGACACTTGAGTGAAAATTTGCCAATGGACGTTCATTATTAGTAGTACTACAACTAATGCTGGAAGTATTATCATCCATTGCTGCACTTATCTTCAAATGACTCATATTTTTCTCTCCTCCTATAGAACTAGCATATGAATATGTATGTTTTACTGTGAGTTTAGAGTAATTTTTGGGGAGAAAATTATGGGCACAACCCCAAGCCATTGATTGAATATTTCCCAAGTGACAACAGCTAATTGAAAAAGCAACCATTGTTTGTTTCTCGCTCTAATGTTTTTTTTCTGGTAATTGTATAATTAAACTTGGTGAGATTTACTACTTGTATGGTGGAAGTATTTATAGTGCAAAAATAAAATGAAGTCAAATTAGGAGGTTAGGTAAAGATGTACGAAGTTTAGGCCTAAATAATTAAGGGAAACTATCAGCTATGTACATTTATAAGTAATTTATTATAAAAATTGGTCAATTCTTAAAATATTATTAATATTAGCCAAATATTACTAATATTAGCCAATTAGCTATTTGTAGCAAAAAAATTAATTTTTTGCTTTCTTTTGAGTGAGTGCTATTAGAATAGATTGGGTATATTATAAGGAGCTTGAATCTCTGTTTTGGAATGATTTCGTGAAGTTTTGAGGTGGTTTAAATTGAAAATTCGAAGTAAAAATTGAATATGAAAAAAATGATACGTGTATCACACTGTGTATCATTTATGTATCACATATGTATCATATTTGTATCGATTGTGTATCACATGTATATCCATGTATACCTGTGTGTGAGATACATGCATGATACATGTTTGATACATGTGTCGCAGAAGAATTTTTGAACCTTATTTAATAACGAATTTTGATACAAAACTAGTTCAAATCACCTCCAATCTTCCTCAAATTTTGTATATTGGCTTATATATATGTTTTCAATGAATTTCAATTATACCCATTTAAAAAAATTCTTTTTTTTGTTTAGATTTTTGAAATATTATATATATATATA